AAAAAAAACTTTTAACAAAAAACAAAAGTAACTACTCTTAAACTCTAGAGGGCGACAAACTATACCTGTAATTTAGCAGCAACTCTATGTATTCGTCCAACATCCTGTGACCAAACGGAGGATGACAGTCCATACTTCACATCATTAGCTCTTTTGATTACCTACAAATACAACCTTGGTTATTGCATTCAATTACAATTTGTTTAAAGGGAAGGAAATCAATCCAAAGTACAATACCATGGAATCATGGGTGGATTCAACTTAACTGAGTATGTCCCTTTAAAGTTATGTTTTTGTGTCATTTTTCTTTCTATTTTTCAACCCACATACTACTGTGTCAATATGGCTACCAAATGAACACACATGGGGTAAATGTTTGAGTGGTTATGCTAGAAAACAGTACATGCCAGGTAGACAGCTGAAAATTAATTTTTAGTCTAGCTATCTGCATATTATTAACACAAATATCACTATGTAATTTAATTTATTAATTTACCACTTAATTAATATTGGCTCAGTATGTGGATTAAAACAATTTTGTACGTGAAAAATACACTATGAAACATTTGATACACTTCAGTAAAAATGTAAGAAAATGTTTAAATCTATAACTACCTCTTCCTCTGTATCAAACTTTGTGATGCAAACGACTGGTCCAAATATTTCTTCTTGCATACATCTAGAGTTATCTGCCAATCCAGTGACAACAGTTGGTCGCATGAAGTAGCCCTGAAAACAAAGTCAACAGCAAATATAGTGGCATCAGTGTGGAAAATAAGATAACAGGGCCTAAGACTACTGGGCTAGCAGAATTATTGACCAGTAAAAATGCAAAAGTGCTTTTCAAATAGACAGGTATAATTAGTCTTCAACAGATAATTATCATGTTAAAACAATCAATTTCATGCTGAAAAATGTGTACTTCAAAAATTACTGCATACAAACATGAAATTTTGATTTTGAAATAAAAAAACATAATATTAATACCAATTTGTTTCGTAATGTATGTAAATGACAGGTATGTATATGTATAAGGCCATTAAATGATGTTTCAATAATGCAGTATACAATAAATACTGTTAACAGTATTTTTGTTTATATGCATTTTTACTGTAGACATAGTTCCACA